TTATTTAATTATCAAACACTTACATATTTCCATATGTTCTTAATTGTAAGTTTAATTTCCATGATTTATCGCTTTTATTTATTTACTTTTAATTTCATACATTTACCAATGCAATGAGTAGCAATATTTTTACATTAATTGATTGAGCAATTATTTAAGAAGAGTTTCAATCATTCAATTTCTCAATTATTAATAATTACCTAATTTGACAATATTCAAAAACGTCAAACTAAACAAAACGTCAAACTAATTGTAAATGTCAAATTGAATAAACGTCAAAAAAATTTAAAACTAGTACAATTATCTTCAATTTATAAATAACTTAAATTTAATTATTTGTGGAAAGAAATGTATTTGATTTCTATTTAATTTCAGTCAATATTTTCTCAATAATTACAATTTAATGTTTTCCAGAGTTTAAACAAAAATACAAGAAACATCTAATTAAGTAATAACAATGCACTTTAATTACATAAAATGCGAGCACGAAGCAAATCAATTAAAGCGTTTTGTACTATAATTGTGGCATTTTCTTTAAAAGTATTTTCAGCTAATTAATTGCTTCGATGCTGGAAGTAGTACAAGAACACGAGAAAATAAGGAAAAATCACTGTTTTTTTTTATTTCATTTCTTATACAGTTAAGTAAATTAAGCGAGTTGAAGTCTCATGACCACAGCTAATCATGATTACGATCTGCATTATTTTTCGGAATTTTACGTGCATGAATTATTCATTAAGAGAAAAAAATGTGTTTGAAAGGAATTTATTACATTTTACAAAAATGGTTGTTTCTGTTTGTATTTGTCGGGCAATTAAAATGTAACTAAAACTATAAGTTATAAAGTGGATATACAGAATAAGTTTAGTTACGTTTACTATGTAGAAAAAAATCAATTTTTTCTTAATACTATCATTATGTGATGAATTATGAAGGAGATACTCCCACGTTGAATTATATAAATTAAACAATTACGACGTTTCATATTCAATTTGTCGTAATTACTTCCAAGAAGATGTTTCCACGTCATTATTTCGTGATGTAAAAACTTTTCTTTTATTTATTTAAATTCTTGATGTCAATCTTCGAAAATCGATGGAATCGTGTCGTGTTTCTTTCATAAAGAATTCTCAACCTATATTCCAAAACACACATTTCTTACAAAATTTGTTTGATTATTACGAGATAAGTGCTTTTTCTATTTGATTTGTAAGTAGTTGTGAGGAGATTATTATTATGTGACTTTTTGGAGGAAATCTGCGTTGATTGCACGTGAGAATAAAGGAATTTTCCAGCTTTATATGTGGAGTAATTAGTTTTCGCTCGAAATATTATATTTTGTTCGCTCGAGTTTAATTTAAACCGGATTAATTAAAGTTTTTTTTTAATGAAACTTCGCCGGAGGAAAAGTTTCCGCTATTGCAGTTGATATAAATGTATTTTGTGTTGGGTTGGATGGAAGGAATGAATACAATGGGGTAGAAACACACAATGGATTCTCTTAGAATATTCATGGCTTTGTGAGCGGAAGACAGATGGTCCCAAATTGGTCCTTCGCCCTTTAATATTTACCTGAAGGTTTAATACCTGTTGGGGAGAGTGAGGAGCATTGTTGCCTGAGAAGTTTCTCCATCTTTTTGTGGTAGGTCCTGTCCTGAAAGAGCTTACATCTGTCTTCGCTTGTGCTTTAGAGCTTTACCTTTCTTGTATATGGTTGATACATAAGATTTTAAACTTTTCTAATTGTAGCTTTAATTGTTGTAAATCATACACGATTTGCATATGCTTGTTTCATGTATTGAAGCATTGAAATTGGATTTGGATCAATAAATCCCGATTGCCATAAAAATGCAATTGGATTCGGTGTTAATTTGGGGAAAAAAAGGTGTGCGCTCTCCGAAATACAAGCCTCATACCGAATTCATCGGCAGTTCAAGAACCATCCTTGGTTGCCGTTAAATCCTAATGTTCGCAAGGTCGTCGACCGTGACACGACCATCATTTCCGCCTTTGTTGCGAATTTCATTAAAATTTCTCTTGCAACATATTTTTTTGTTGTTGTATTCTGGTTCTTATTCTTCAATTCGACACGTTCGTTGACGTCGAAAATGAACAAGATCAACGTTTAAAATTTTATAATATTTTTCATTGCGTGGGAAACTATGTTCTTTTCAGTTTAATTTCAGCTCGATTTCCACTCGGGGGAAATATGCGAATTTAAACTGTAGCAATTGAAACGCGATCGTCCTTGGTGTGTTGTGTGCGCTTGACGTACACATTTCCATATTGTAATATTTCTCTCCACCAAAATCGTGTAGCAATTTCTGCCGTCATCAACACGCACAGTTTGAATCGAGCGAATAACTCGATTAATCAAATGCAAATTCAAATCAGTTTGACATTTATTCAATTTGACATTTATTTAGTTTGACGTTTATTTCAATTGTGACATTTATGTAATTTGACGTTCATTAGAAATGACAGTTAAAACTAGTTACAAAATTTGTTTCAACAACTGAAAAACAACAACATCTATGATTCACATTTATTCAGTTTGACATCTATTCTATTTGACATTTATTTAGTTTTACGTTTATTCTATTTGACATTTATTTAAATTGTGATATTTGTGCAGTTTGACGTTTATTAAAAATGACAGTTAAAACTACTTACAAAATTTGTTTCAACAACTGAAAAACAACAACATCTTTGATTCACATTTATAAAGTTTGACATCTATTCTGTTTGACATTTATTTAGTTTGACGTTTATTCTATTTGACATTTATTTGAATTGTGATATTTGTGCAGTTTGACGTTTATTGAAAATGACAGTTAAAACTAGTTACAAAATTTGTTTCAACAACTGAAAAACAACAACATCTATGATTCACATTTATTATGTTTGACATCTATTCTATTTGACATTTATTTAGTTTGACGTTTATTCTATTTGACATTTATTTGAATTATGATATTTGTGCAGTTTGACGTTTATTAAAAATGACAGTTAAAACAAGTTACAAAATTTGTTTCAACTGAGAAACAACGACATCTATCATTGACATTTGTTTGACGTTTATTCTATTTGACATTTATTTAGTTTGACGTTTATTTGAATTGTGACATTTGTGTAGTTTGACGTTTATTAAAAATGACAGTTGTAAAAATTTCTTTCTTGGAGTAATGTAACTGAAAAAAAAACAACGACATCTATGATGTGATTGAAAATATTGAATCATTCAATTAAATTGAAAACATGTTTTCATCGCCTCGTTTTCATTGAATATTTAGTTTATTTACATTGACTGCATAACAACAACAGCTTTATTTTTCCCGTTTCACTCGGATTTGAACAAATTAATGATAATTGTGAATTTATCTCTCACTAATCAATGGAAAATTACATTTTTTCAGTAATATTTTCATGAATTTAATAACATTTTTGTAATTATTAATTTATAATCAATTCTCTTGTCTGTTGGAGTTATTTTTTTTTGTTCTTCTCATCGTCGGATCGAGTTAATTGGCATTTAAAATGCTAATAAAGCTCGCAGCTACGAACCCGGAAATGGAGCTTTTTTAGTTTGTCTCGAATCGAGAATTTAAATATACGTTTTTGCATGCAGAAATTGGTAGAGCGTGAACATGCGGGTCGAAATTTAAAATGCAAAAATGTTAATTAATTTTAATTTATATAATGAATTTCGTTATGGAATCAAAGTAAATTTTAGTTAATACTAAAAAAGTATTAAGTAGTTTGAAAAATTATTCATAGATGGCGTGTTGGAAATTTATTTGTTCTATACAGAAAAGTAACTTGTTTTTATTATATAATTTGTTTGATATTAATAGTTTTGTTTTGAAGCTGTTAATAATTATTTAAAGATAATTTGAACTGTCAATCACAGATGGCGTGTCTAAAATTACTAGAGTGCACGTCTGGATTCGATTCCGAAATTGGTTTCTGCTGAAAGGAAAGCGGTTTCTTGTTTCAGGATTCATTTCGTTACCCTCAATTTTCTCTCTCATTCTTCTAACGTTGACTGCTCGTGACTCACTAATGGAAGGCTAAATTTATTTTCCCTTTCGCTCGTCAGAGAGGAGGAGAAGCAATCGACTGGGAAAGTTTTCCTTTCTATTTGCATATGAGACGCGCCGAAATCGACGGAGAACAGGAAAACAAACAAAAATGCAACTGCTTCACCACTTCTTTTCCAGTTGCAAAACAGACGCACGTGTTTGCTTTTCCTGCACGCCGTTTTACGACCAACGCTCTTCTTCCTTCCACAGTTTACTCAATATCATTTCCCTTTGCTGCAGGTACGAAGAAAAAGAAAACAAAGTCGAAAGTTTAGGTACAAATTTCGAATTTTCGGAAAAAGAAATTAAAACCGCTATCAAGATATATAAACAATCTAAATTTCCGTTCGGTTATTACTTCCTGTACACGCGAAAATTGAACTGTGCGTTTATACTACAACTACTTTTGTTCGTGATTTATCCGTAAAGGAAATTTACATCGTAAATTTATCAATACTCTGAGGCGAAAACACGAGCAAATTGCGTATTTTCATCCTGGCCTTTGTTTGTCGCTGCGTTTCGAAACCACTATCACCACCTGTATGAGTTTTACTAGTTATTCGACGTGCAAAATAAAACACGTCATTTCCTCAACTAACTATATTGGGTCTAATTGGCCATTCATAAAAAATCTCAATTGTCGATCCAATTGCAAATCTTGCTGTTTCTTTTTATAATCCTCCGTTAATACGTTCGGCCTTGCCGTGCTTCAATTCAGTAATCACCGTATCAGGTGTACTTTAATCTTCTACTTACGTCAATCAATAATTGCGGTTGAATATCTGTCGATAATGTGAAATTTGCTTTCGTGTATGTTCCTAGATGGCGCTACCATCGAATTCGATTATTTCTTTAATCTAAGCTTGATTTATTTATTCTATGTGTACTGATGTATTGTTTTCTTCTTTGTGATTGCAGAACTGAGAGTTAACCATGGAGGACGCCCACAGTAGAAGCGTGGAGGAGTGCCTAAACCACTTCAACGCTGATCCGGAGCGGGGCTTGTCGCCTGAGCAAGTCAAGAGGAATCAGGAGAAATACGGACCTAATGGTAAGCATCTTCTGGAAAAAAATTGAGAGAAATCCGTGCGGACATGTTGAATTAAAAGAGGGTGATGAAAACGGGAACCAGGGGTGTTTGTCCCTCCTCTCTTCTTTCATTAACGGACATGAAAATTATGGCTTTCACAGTCGGACAAACATGAGACACTTTGTTTCGTTTTAATCAAGCTTTTTAAAGAGATTTGTTATTACTACGCTGATTAATTCATCTAAAAAAAATGTTTGATTAAGCCTAAATTAGTAGTTGTTTTTCTTATACAAAAAAATATTTGCAAGTATTGATTTAAAGAGGAAACGTCGGTAGTTGTTTACAATTTCTTTAAAAGAGTTTTCTTGAAGAAGTTTTTGATTTACTTTGGCTTTAAGCTTAAAAGGATGATCCAATTACTAAGGTAAACATTGCTCAAATGAAAATTGCAGTTGTGAATATTGACTTATACTTCATATTATATTAAAAGAGATATTTTTTTGTACAAGTAGTAATAAAATTAGTAGACTTGATTCCATCTGTGATTGACAGTTCAAATTATCTTTAAATAATTATTAACAGCTTCAAAACAAAACTATTAATATCAAAGAAATTATATAATAAAAACAAGTTACTTTTCTGTAAAGAACAAATAAATTTCCAACACGCCATCTATGAATAATTTTTCAAACTACTTAATACTTTTTTAGTATAAACTAAAATTTACAGAATTTACTTGAATTCCATAACGAAATTCATTATATAAATTGCAGTTGTGAATATTGACTTATACTTCAGATTAAATTAAAAGAGATATTTTTTTTGTACAAGTAGTAATAATTTTAGTAGAGTTAATTTTATTCATATTTGATTGATTTATAACTCGTTTAATTAATCTTCTTGAGGGAATTATATAAGAATTAACGAGTTTTTTTTTGCTACAGTAAATAAAAAGTTTCGTTCGTGGAGATTATCTACTTTTAAAACTGAATCTAGATTAAGATTGGATTCCTCGGTGTCTTTGCAAACGACACTCGAAGCTTAATTACAGCAGTTAATTGCATTCGGTATAATTTTAAGTTCAGAGCTGGAACGGTATTCGTCGCACCAGAAAGTTAAACTCAACAAATTGCTACAAATTTTCTTAAATAAGTTTAATTTTTTTATTAATGATGAAACATTTATATTTTTTTATATTATAATAGTTTAAATTGATGAATTGATGTTGAAAATCAATATTTCAATGATGAATTTACAAAATTGCAATAAACTAAAAATTTGATGAAATTGATGTTTTTTATGGTAAATAATTCATATTGAAATGAACAACAACATTTATTGTAATAAGAATTGCGAACAAAAACGAAGGAGTATGAATTAAAAACCACATGAATCATTGCTATGGGATTTCTATAAATGATTAATAGAATTGGATGAAAAAAACAATATTTTGTTAAAAAAAAATAATTTGAATGTTACCATTGTTTGTAAGCTATGGCTTCCTTTTCGTTCCATCATTAGTTTAATTATGATGTATTTGTTATTTTGGGATCTTTGATGTTAATTTGTAGATTGTGCAGTGAGGAAGTGAGTAGTTCAAGTAAACTGCAGCTGTTCCATTCAGGAATATTCACGTATAATTTGTATATAGGTCAAGCAGGAAGCTGCAACGAGCAGCAAGTTTAGTTGGTTACGGGATTAGCTCTATCCGCCCCATAGATTTATCGAACAATAACAAGCAAAGCAAACCTCAAAGGGTTTCCCTTCACCAGCGTTGTTAATAGTTTAATATCGATCAAGCAACAGTTGGCTTTACATCAAAATCATAAAGCAGTGCTTTATACTTTATTTCATGTAGTGGACAAGCAAATGTTGGCAATTTTCGAAAAAGTACGTCATTCAAGTCGACCGTAACGTCGGATGCAGTCGCGTCGTCCTTTCTATTCTGATTCGTAAGCAAAAGTAGCCAAGATCACGACACTTTTTCTGCCAACGGACATTACTTTAATCTGTTGCATAAACAACTTCATTTTATCCAAAAATAACTACCTTTTCTCGACTCATTTCATAACTACGGTTACATTTATTTATACGTTCTATACTTGTTAATTATATGCACTGTACGTCAATCAATTTGCATGTAATAAACTTATTGTCTCTGCCGTATGTATTTATACACAAAAAAAATATGTTATTCCGTTTTATTTATTTACAAACTGCGCGGTTAAATGAATTACGTTCAAGACAAATCACCGAATTTTTCAGCGTGGATGCAATAAATGCTGTTTAAAATTTGTGTTTTACCGTAGACATAAATAATTTTGGTAGAAATGTACGGTTTTTCTTTATTTTTTTTGCGCAATCGGAATTCGAGATTTGTGCCAATTTGTGCGATGCCAAGTTTTTTTTTTGTTGTTGTCCGCAAATGATTAATTAATTTCAATTTTTAAACTTCACTTTTGACAATTGCAAACGTTTATTTTTGTTCCATCAGTTACGTAACTATTAAGTCTTTAAGAGTACACAAATTTGTCTTCATTGAATAGAATAATATAAACGGTGTTTGAAACTTCTAAAGTCTTAACAATAAATCAATGAATTTCCAAAGTTTTCAATGGAAATTGAAACAGTGAATGAATCCAGGTTAATTTGCATCGTTATCAAGTTTTCAAGTAGTTTCAAAGCTCTTTATTATTAATGCGTGATTCCTACAGGTTTAAGAGCTGCATTATCTGTTTCTGTGCGTTTTCGGATTAGAGATAATGTTCATTAATTGCTCTCAGGAATTATACGTGATAATGAAACGAGTTTCACATGCATTTTAAACAACTCTTTGATGTAATGTTTCTAAAATAGTTCAAATCGTATACTCGATTATGTAATTGGTTTCATGAGTGGTTTGATAAAGGCGTGACGATAACAATTAATTAACATTACTTAACAATTGTTATATAACAAAAGAAACACAATTAAAGATTGTGTTAATTATTAGAATTATATAAAAAAAAATTCGAAGTAAATTTTTAAAAACATTGTGGTTTTTGTATAAGCCAACGTTTGTAGATAAGAATTTTTTTGTTTGACATATGAACACAAGTTTTGAACTATTTTAAATTCTGTTTGTTTAATTTACAAATAATTAAATCTAATTCTGAATTTGAACTGTTTGTACAAATTATAGAAAACAACTTGAATTGTTTGCAATTTTGAAGTATATAAAAAATTTCACTTTTTTTTTCAGTTATACTTAAGAAATTCGATGATCAAATATGATAATAATTAATTACTAATCAAGTAATGTTTTCAAAACTTATTTGAGGAAATTTTTTCTATACAAAAATAATTAAAAAAAAAAGATGTAATTATAACTGAAATGTTTATTGTTTGTGAAATAATTACAAACAAGTAAGAATGAAGATTTATGTAATCTTCGTTGTGATTATTATCTTTAAGAAAATCCTTGTGCTATAACGAGATTAAAGTAGTATAAAGATGTCTCTGCACGAAAAACGGCGATTAAAGTAATTTGTAGTTAGAAATTTCCTCCGTTAATGTTTACTGTAGCTTCTCCGGTTTCTCTCATTTAGTTTTTCTCGAGCAGCAATTAAAGTCGAAGTGAAATAATAGCACAGGTCTAAACAGCCGTTTTGTAGTAAACCGTTCCGACTATTTATTGTTACCAAATAATCGTTGTGTATTTACACATGAGGCGGGAGGATAAGGAAAACCATGCGGCTCGGAGTATTTTCTAATCTAATCTTAATTCCCATTTGCAAACAAACCGGAGCGAAGCGGCGTTGCGTAAAGCGCGAAGAACCAAAGAAAGAACTTGATCGAATTTGACTATTTTTGTTGTTGTTGTTGTTGGTGAAGTAACGGTTGCTCTTTCAAATGTCCATAAACTAAGCGTGCTCTGCTGTCTCTGGGAGACAAAAGCGAACTTAGATTTTGCTGGCCTCCGCTTGAGGAAAGAGAGCGGAATGTACATGGTGCCACGTCATTTCGCCATTGACGTAATGAAAAACGTCATTCGTTCGACAGGAGATCGCGTTCTGTTGCTCTGCTGAGTAATGTAATGCGACTCAATTCGTTCCTCTCCGTTTGAAAAAAGTTCTTTGTTGAATTCACCTATCGACATCGTGCTAAATGCAGCTGATTCTCAAAATAAACAGTTGAATTATATACGTGTTAAATAGAAGACGATTTTGATAATAACAAAACGTTTGAAGTAAAATGATTTCTGGACGAAATCGAAAGCTAAATTTAATTTTACACCTAATAAAAATTGTATGATTAATCCATTGTTTTTCTTGTCTGTTTCAGAATTGCCTGCTGAAGAAGGTACGTACTGCAACCATCGATTTGATGCTACTTCCTATTTGTAGTGTTTTCCTTGACTTCTATTGGTTTAAATTCGTCGTTTCCTGTGCGGTTTAACTTCACCGCTTTCCGGGGGAATGAATATATTTTTTTCTCTTTGAGCGTTGTTTCTCCGCGAAACCGTGAGAGAGAAAGAGATGTTTTTTTTCCCACCGCGCACTCACAGCTGTGTATCTTCTCTTTCTGATTCCGCCGTGTATCGATTGTGTAATGATGATGTTGGGTTTTTGAATGATGTGGCCTGGAATTCTGTATTCGTATTCCAGGCGTCGGTGGTGGCGGAGCTGAAAAAAACATGTGCACACGTTCGTGCTATATATTATATGGGTCATAGCTCGTGTGATCATGATGTTTTTTTTTCTCTCTCTGAGCATTTCCTTCGTGCATGTTAATTTTCCTCCAAAGATTGATTGATTGATTGACGCTGGGAAATGCTAATGGATATTTCATTTTATACTTGGTTTCTGGAACGTTTCACGAATTTTGTTAGAAATCCTATTGGTTTGGAGTTTTTCCAGACGCTTTTCCATTTACGTGGGTGGATATTATTTACACGTAGAAATCAGTCATTATTTAATTGTAATCCAACCTTTTTCATCAATTATTTCAACTGTAATGTTGTAAGTTTTTGAATCATTTGAAAGAAAGTATATTTTGAACTACTTTGAAAATTGTAGTACTTTTTGAATCAATCTAAAAATACAAAGTACAAAATGGTATTTTTCAAACGACATTTCTCTAAGTGTAAAGAAAAAGAAAGTTTTGGGATGTTTTTGATCCAAAGTTACATTTTTTTTTTGTATGAAAACCATTGTTTAGAGATAGTTTAGAAAACGTTGATAATTGGAACAACAATTAAACAATGAAAATTTGGAAATACTCATTCTTATAATTAAATAGCAGATTTCAGTAGTTTATTTGGTGTAATTAAATATTCTTATTAATCTATTAATGTAAAGAAGTTTTTTTTTTGTTATTTAAAATACGTTATTTTAGATGATTACAAAAGAGCCAGAGTTAAAATTAGATATTTAATGTTTGGATGGAAGTCAAAGAGGTTTATGTATTTTTACATTCTTTATCTGTGCCAATTGGTATAGTTAGAATTTAGTAAATACCAAAGTCTATGAAAATTTAAGCAAAAAAAAATCACTGAAGAAATCATTTGATTCGAGCTAAAATTAGAAGTTTTTTTTAATGATATATGAAATAGTTGTTAACAAATCTGTAATAATCAATTGAGAAAAAAGAAATTGTAAGTTTGAACGAAAAATCTTTTCATAATCAATTAAGAAAATGTGTAATTGTTTGATTGAAGGCTAAAATTGGAACGTTTTTTTTAATGATTATTTTTTGATACATGTGGGAAGTGCATTATTCGATAAAGAAACAAAGGAAATCGTTAATCATAATTAAGTTACACGTTCAATTGGTATAAAAAATAAATGCCAAAAGGAAGCTTCCAATAGAAGCATCAAATGAGATTTGTTTTCGTTTGAATTGATTCGATTTCTTGAGCAATGAAGCTTTTTCTTATACATTTCACCGGATTACGACTTGAGTATTGAGTTTGCATCCACTTCATGGAAATTCATGTTTTTCCAGGTTGCAATAAGCAAAGATGAAATGAAAAATCGATGCGTCGTAATTTTATTTTGATTTCTGCGAATCTATTTCGAGCTGACTTCTTTATTATTATATCTTCTAGTAAAACTTATTTGTTTTCTCAAGGTGCTCGAAATACAATTGTCGTTTTTTCTTCCTTTCCCTCTATTGCTTTTGGTATTTCGCGAAATATTTTGCTCGAGCACCCTTTTAGAATCCTTTTTCCGCACGAGGAGTTTCTGCTCCTTTCATGCACGATATATTCACAGTTTTTTTTATTATTACTATAGTTGAATGTGATATTTCGTTGCTTTGGAAAACTGTCAAGCTCTCTTTTATTTGATTTTTATTTGTTGCATCTCATAAGTTTTCATTATTTTTGTTTATTCAAGAGTTTATCAAGTAAATATTGACTTGTTTCTTGAAAAATGATCTTATATATAACTTCTTTTTACCTTGTTTTTAGATAAATATCTTGTCTTTGCAATAAGATTTATCCAAATTTCATCTTCATTTAGTTCTAAATCAAAATTCTTCTGCAAATTATTGATTTTTTACACGTAAATGAATGATCTTTAGAACTTCTTTTTACCTAGTTTTCAATTAAATATCTTGTCTTTCCAATAAGATTTATCCAAATTTCATCTTCATTTCTATTCTTCATTTCAGTTCTAAATCAAAATTCTTCTGTAAATCATTGTTTTTTTTACGTAAATGAATGATCTTTATAACTACTTTTTACCTAGTTTACAGTTAAATATCTTGTCTTTGCAATAAGATTTATAAAAATTTCATCTTCATTTAGTTCTAAATCAAAATTCTTCTGCAAATCATTGTTTTTTTAACGTAAATTCTCTTTAATTACGTTTATTTCTGTGTGAAATTTTCGGACCAAAAACATTGATTTTAGACGAGAGATGGACTTTGGGTTCGTAGGTTTATCGCGTTCAACGCTGATGGATTTCTTATTCTGATTAAACCACTTTTGAAATTATTCTATCACATCTGTTTTTGTTTCTTGTTTTGACTGAAAACCCATTATGTTTATATTCCATTTATTTAAATGCCCGATTAGAATTCAGTTATATCACTGGTATAGGAAAATTCATAAATAAATTAAGTTAATTTATGATTTTTTTTACACACTTTGTCCCATTATTGTTTGTAAATACTTACAATTTTAGCAATCAAAAGTCTTGAACTTTTGGGAATGCGAAGGAAACTCATTTCATTTTCATCTGGGTATATCCAATGTTGTTTGTAATTAAATTCTTGGTAATTCTCAGTAAGAAAAATAAACATTCAGTGTTTGTAACTTGCTCATAAAAGTAATAATTGTATTTACTTTAGAAGCTCTGTTTTTTAAGTGTTGATTTTTAGATTATTTTGTGAAACTGGGAATCTATTAATTTGTTGGGAAGTTTTGATTTTATTTGGCTATTAGCCATGACGTTTTTTTTAAATTCTTATTTTGTTGTATTAGGATTTGTTGTCTTCTATGGTTTACTTCTATTTGTTTTATAAGTTTGTGAATCAATTTCAACTTTAAATGTATATAAGTGTTAACATAAAATTCATATGTTTTGTTTTATTTTTCAGGCAAATCAATATGGCAGTTAGTTTTAGAACAATTCGACGATCTTCTAGTCAAGATTTTGTTATTAGCCGCTATTATTTCATTCGTAAGTATATATATATTTTTAGATCGATTCTTAGAAATAATGTGTGTGCGTGTACATCCAAAATCGGTTCGGAATGCTGCGAATCGTGTAACTCTGATCCTTCTAAATCCTTGTTTCATAAAACGTGCAGACCATACGCGTGTGTATTTAATTTTCTTCTTTTTTTATTTTATTTTAAATCGTTTTCTCCCTGTGCGTTTCGGCTGGTCCGTTGTTGGGTTGCTTATCTTTTCGCCGGTTTTAGTTTATAAAGGCCACGTGCGCATTGAAATAGAACTTTAGTGTTTGAGGCTGTCGGAGCCAGTCTATAAAAATATATTTTTAAAGTCGGCACATTATTCCGGAGCTCTATTTTATTTTCGACATTATAATTTTCAATTTACGACCGATAAAAGGATCCGTGTTGCAATAACAATTTGCCAATTTCAATCTTTTTTTTTCTTTTTCTTGTCCGCTCCTGTTGCGGTTGTATTTCGGATTTATTGACTCGCTAACAAAAAAAAAAAAAAGAAACTTACACTTTATTTGTATTTGCTCAGTCGTAAAATTGTGTTTAGTGTATTTGTAATTTTTTTACTTAATACTACAAGTACTTTCGCCGAGTTGTAGGCACATACTTGTGAAGTTGTTGTTTTGAATTTTTCTGTTTTCTAAAGATGATATATTTGTTATAGGTTCTCGCCTTGTTCGAGGATCATGAGGACGCTTTCACCGCTTTCGTAGAACCATTCGTCATCCTGCTCATCCTCATCGCCAACGCAGTCGTCGGTGTCTGGCAAGAAAGGAACGCTGAATCCGCCATCGAGGCTCTGAAAGAATATGAACCAGAGATGGGCAAGGTCGTCCGTGGCGACAAGTCCGGTATCCAGAAGATCCGTGCCAAAGAAATCATTCCCGGTGATATCGTTGAGGTGTCCGTCGGTGACAAGATCCCAGCCGATATCCGTCTGATCAAGATCTTCTCCACCACCCTGCGTATCGATCAATCCATCTTGACCGGAGAATCCGTTTCCGTCATCAAGCACACCGATCCTATTCCAGACCCACGCGCCGTCAACCAGGACAAGAAGAACATCCTCTTCTCCGGAACCAACGTCGCCGCCGGCAAAGCCCGTGGTATCGTCATCGGCACCGGTCTTAACACCGCCATCGGTAAAATCCGTACCGAGATGTCCGAAACTGAAGAAATCAAGACCCCACTGCAACAGAAACTGGACGAGTTCGGTGAACAATTGTCCAAGGTTATCTCTGTCATCTGCGTCGCCGTCTGGGCCATCAACATTGGTCACTTCAACGATCCCGCTCACGGTGGATCCTGGATCAAGGGTGCCGTCTACTACTTCAAAATCGCCGTCGCTCTCGCCGTCGCCGCCATCCCAGAAGGTCTTCCAGCTGTAATCACCACTTGTCTCGCTTTGGGTACCCGTCGTATGGCCAAGAAGAACGCCATCGTCCGCTCTCTGCCATCCGTCGAAACCCTTGGTTGCACCTCCGTCATCTGCTCCGACAAGACCGGTACCTTGACCACCAACCAGATGTCCGTCTCCCGCATGTTCATCTTCGAGAAGGTCGAAGGCAATGACAGCTCTTTCCATGAATTCGAAATCAGCGGATCCACCTACGAACCAATCGGTGAAGTATTCTTGAAGGGACAGAGGGTCAAGGCTTCCGAATACGAAGGTCTCCACGAATTGGGAACCGTCTGCATCATGTGCAACGATTCCGCCATTGATTTCAACGAGTTCAAGCAGGCCTTCGAGAAGGTCGGCGAAGCCACCGAAACCGCTTTGATCGTCCTCGCCGAGAAGATGAACCCCTTCAACGTTGCCAAGTCCGGAGATCGTCGCGCCGCCGCCATCGTCGTCAGACAAGACATCGAGACCAAGTGGAAGAAGGAATTCACCCTCGAATTCTCCCGCGATCGTAAATCCATGTCCTCCTACTGCGTACCTCTTAAGCCATCCCGCCTTGGAAACGGACCTAAACTCTTCGTTAAGGGAGCCCCAGAAGGTGTCTTGGAAAGGTGCACACACGCTCGCGTTGGAAACCAGAAGGTCCCACTCACCAACACTTTGAAGAACCGCATTTTGGAAGTGACCAGGCAATACGGTACCGGCCGCGACACCCTCCGTTGTTTGGCTCTCGCCACCGCCGATGCCCCAATGAAACCCGAAGAGATGGATCTTGGAGACTCCAACAAATTCTACACCTACGAAGTCAACCTTACTTTCGTTGGTGTCGTTGGTATGTTGGATCCCCCACGTAAGGAAGTCTTCGACTCTATTGTCAGGTGCCGCGCCGCCGGTATCCGCGTTATCGTCATCACCGGAGACAACAAGGCCACCGCCGAAGCCATCTGCAGACGTATCGGAGTCTTCACCGAAGACGAAGATACCACCGGCAAATCCTACTCTGGTCGCGAATTCGATGACCTCCCAATCTCCGAACAAAAGGCCGCTTGCGCCCGTGCCAGGCTCTTCTCCCGCGTAGAACCTGCCCACAAGTCCAAGATCGTTGAATACTTGCAAAGCATGAACGAAATCTCTGCCATGGTAAGTTTATCATTAAAAATCCATATAATCAATCAATTGTTAATCTTAATAATAAATTAATAGACTGGTGATGGTGTCAACGACGCCCCAGCCCTGAAGAAGGCCGAAATTGGTATTGCCATGGGATCCGGTACCGCCGTCGCCAAATCCGCCTCCGAGATGGTCTTGGCCGATGACAACTTCTCATCCATCGTCGCCGCCGTCGAGGAAGGTCGTGCCATCTACAACAACATGAAGCAGTTCATCCGTTACCTCATCTCCTCCAACATCGGTGAAGTCGTCTCCATCTTCTTGACCGCCGCTCTCGGTCTCCCAGAAGCTCTCATCCCAGTACAACTCTTGTGGGTCAACTTGGTCACTGACGGTCTCCCAGCCACCGCTCTCGGCTTCAACCCACCAGACTTGGACATCATGCAGAAGCCCCCACGTAAAGCCGACGAAGGTCTCATCTCCGGATGGTTGTTCTTCAGGTATATGGCTATTGGTGGATACGTAGGCGCTGCCACCGTCGGTGCTGCCGCTTGGTGGTTCATGTACTCCCCAGAAGGACCACAATTGAACTACTACCAATTGGTAAATAGATCACAATCTTCGAACTGTATGCATTTCTTACGTTTCCTTTTTATTTAAAGACTCACCATTTGGCTTGCATTGGCGAAGGAGACGAATTCAAGAACGTTGACTGCAAGGTCTTCACCGATCCTCATCCAATGACCATGGCTCTTTCCGTACTCGTAACCATTGAAATGTTGAACGCCATGAACAGGTAAACTTAGTATTTTTATATAAAAAAAAATATTGATTGACTAATCACTTGTTCTCGTTACATTGCAGCTTGTCTGAAAATCAATCTTTGATTGCCATGCCTCCATGGTCCAACTGGTGGTTGATGGGCTCCATGGCTCTCTCATTCGGTCTCCATTTCGTCATCCTCTACGTTGAAGTACTCTCTGTAAGTGCAACCGCCCGAAGACATCTCCGCAACTACACTAAAAGTACATTGTAATTAATGACATCTTCGTTTCCTACTTTCAGACCATCTTCCAAGTAACACCATTGAACGGAGACGAATGGCTGACGGTCATGAAGTTCTCGATTCCAGTCGTGCTTTTGGACGAAACGCTGAAGTTCACCGCCAGAAAGATCGCAGACGGTGAGAATCCGCTGTACACTGTGTGGGGCATAGTGCTCATGTGGGCTGTGTTTTTCGGTCTCCTACTTTATGGACCGTTCTAATTTATTAACACCACCCCCCAACAACAACAAAAAAAAACAACAACAGCCAAAAAAAAACATTTTTTTTACAACAACAACAATATATATAAACAAACAACAAGCAAACAAAAAAAACACCAACAGCAGCAACGGCATACGAGATTTTTAAAAATATTAATCAAAATCGAGAGCAAAATATTAAAACCCAGAGAAATAGAACACCAAACAGACAAACAACAGACTGCCTCCCTAAATCGAGGATAGTTGTTGCTATTTTCCCTTAATTTTTTTTTTCGATGATGATAGCTGGGCTATATTAAAAAAAAAGAAAGAAATGATATGAAACAACCCCCAACACGAGGTGCGGTGTCGTCCATGGTCCCTACATGAGTGGATGATATCAGCAGCTTTAAATCTGAATTTAACTCCTTTATTATTTGTACATATATTATTAACTAGTTTGACGTTTTATTGTTTTTTTTTTCTCAATTTTCTTGTGTTTTCTATTATTTTTTTGTTGTTAATTTAATCCTAATCGATGCGATGAGAGAAACATACTTATTCTCTGTGTGCAATCGGAGCTACGTTTATACAAAAAACAAACAAAAACAAAAACTAGGAACAAACCGATTTGTATATGTACACGACACAAAAAAAATAAGGATCGAGGATGGCGTTGTTCATCGACCAACAACATCCCCCGAAAAAGGCAGGCAAGTTGTTTTGTTTTTCATCCCCAATCAACAATCAAACAAAAAAAAAATAAGCTCCGCCCTCTCCTAAAAAGAAACGCCTCCAACCCGACCCTCTCCCCCGACGATTTCGTTTGACATCCGTGTGTGTGGTTTTTTTTTTAAATCCCTTTGTTGTTTTTTTTTTCCTCCCCCCTCAATTATGTTTTTTTTTTGTCATATTTATATATATTTATAGTGTATTGAGGATTTTTTTTTTCTTCATGACTTTGGTTTTTTTTTCCGTTTCGTTTCGAAGGAAGGACTAAAAATGTTGTGATTTAGTAAATTATTATTATTAAACGATTTCTTCTGTTTTTCGCGCACGCGAATGCAGAAAAATTGAAGGAAAAAAAAATGAAGAAGAACGTATATGGAAAAAATGAAAGTAAAGAATGAGAATGAAATATATTCAGAAAGTGCTAAAAGACTGACACACAATACACACTGGCTCAAATATATTGAATACAATAGGAATTATTAACTAATTAAATAGATCGATTGATTATTATTACTACTACTATTTTTTTTTCTTCTTTTCTTCTCTCTCTATATAATCTTTCTACTATTCTTGAAATTTGTCGATTCTATCCAAAAAAATGGAACAAAAAATTGGTCGAATGTATTTTGTTCTTGTACAACTGATTTGAACGAATAATTGATTAGGTGCAGCAAACGGGAATTAATTACTACTTTTTGGATAGGATTCCGCTCTTTTTATATTTTATATTGATTATTATTATTATAATTAAAGTGTTAGTAAATTAATTTAGCAATTCTTGAACCATTTCTTTTGTGTACATGTTCTCGTTTCTGTTTAATTGGGTATACTATATCTATGCATGTGTAGATGTTGATGATGATGATGATTTTCCTTCGTCTTGTCTCGTTTTCTTTTTTATTTAAATTTTCAATTCGTTCCGAGTGGTGTACTTAATAATTGATTAGAGACGAAGCGTAGTTATAACGATATATAGTTGTAATGAAAAACGGAGACACGGAATACAACTGATTTGGGGTGAGACTACAGCTCAAAAAAAAATATAATAAAATCCCTGATTTCGTTCATTAACAATTCGTTTTTCAATGGGTGAAAAAGCGAAATGGCCAAATACTTTTTCCACCCCATTCTCAGTCGATCCTGTCTTCAATTCTTTCTCTCGTCTTTTCGTGTCCAGTCCCCTCGTATGTGTGTGTTTTTTTTAAATTATACATATATAAATATATCTAGCGAATTTTTACTTGGAGACTATTTGTGGGTGTTTTGAGTAATATATTATATACATACATTATACACACAGATATATACATACCTAATTTTTTTATTAAATTAAATTAATTAATTCCAATGTACATAAATATTAAATAATGTTTGTAACGGGAGAAATGTTTAAATTAATAAAAACAAAATAAACGGATGGCTTTTAGTTCCATTGACGAATTGTAGATGTTGTGAGTATACTCTTTTTTTTTTATTTTGTTTTGTACTCTTATTCTCTTCTCTATCTAAATGTTTTTTTGTTGTCTCTATACTTTCGTGTTTTCTACAATCTGTTTCCAAGTGTATCATTACCCGAATTTAAGAAAACTATCTTGTTTTCTAACCACAAAAAAGCAATAATTTCAATGATACTTGTTGAAATATAGAATTTAATTAAACTAATCAAAAAAAAATAATTGCTAGAGCGAAGAAAGTATTTATTTTATTAAAAACAGTATTTTTTTTAAATTATTAGCTTCAACTTTTGTAATTAGCAAATTATTAAGATAGACAAATTGAGGGAGTGGCTTATTGATTTTGGACCAATCAAATTATCGTCTGCATTTGTTTGTGGGCGTTTGATGGGCGTGGCTACACATTCAAAATCGTTTTCTTGACAGATGACGTTGACAGTACTTCTTTTCAACAGAGAATATGTACATTCCGCAATATTTGGCGAACTTATCGAGTACACAAAGTCCAAATATACTTTGATATTTAAAATTAAGCAAAAATGATGGCTTACTTGGAACTTAATCAATGTTTTATTAGAGGCGTGGTTTTTTGTAAATCCACCAATCATCTGCGACTAATGATAAATATTTGAATACATGCGACATTATTTCATATACATGCACTGATCTGTGAATTTAAAGAAAAAAATAAAAGAATCTAGATATATTATATAAAATTCATATAGAACTTTACAGTATTGCAGTATTTTTTAATTAGCAAATTATTAAGATAGACAAATTGAGGGAGTGGCTTATCGATTTTGGACCAATCAAATTGTCGTCTGCATTTGTTTATAGGCGTTCGATGGGCGTGGCTACAAATTCAAATTCGATAAGCCGCATTTGAAAACATGCGACATTATTTGATAGCGCTGCACTGTGAATTCAAACGAATAAATTAAAAGACTTCGAAATCTAGAGATATTATAAAGAATTCATATAGAATTTTACAGTATTGCAGTATTTTTAATTAGCAAATTATTATTGTTTTTGGTATATCCACCAATCATCTACGACGTATGATAGACAAATTGAGGGAGTGGCTTATCGATTTTGAACCAATGAAATTATCGTCTGCACTCGTTTGTAGGCGTTCGATGGGCGTGGCCACAAATTCAAATTCGTTTTTGTTAAATCCACCAATCATCTACGACGTATGATAGACAAATTGCGGGAGTGGCATCGATTTTGGACCAATCAAATTATCGTCTGCACTTCTTTATAGGCGTTCGATGGGCGTGGCCACAAATTCAAATTCGTTTTTGGTAAATCCACCAATCATCTACGACGTATGATAGACAAATTAAGATAGACAAATTGCGGGAGTGGCTTATCGATTTTGGACCAATCAAATTATCGTCTGCATTTGTTTGTAGGCGTTTGATGGGCGTGGCTACAAATTCAAATTCGTTTTCTTGACGTTTCACGATTATTCAAAATCTAGAGATATTATAAAGAATTCATATAGAATTTTGCAGTCAAGTAAAAAAAAGAATTTTGTGGGAGGAATTTAATTGAGTAAAAGGTGTGGTTTATAAGGAACCTTAGCAACGAACAATTTCACAACTTAATTTTTTTTAACAGAATTACAAAAAAAAAATCGGGGATTTGAGGGAATTACAAATCCTTTTTTTGGAAGAGTGATGATTTGGTCATAGAATTTATCACTCTTTAACCTTCGTGCATATATTTTCTATAATACTTGTGTTTTTTTTTATTTGCTTATATTAATCTACAAACAAGAAACAACAACAACAAATCGATACGAATTTGTGTGTTTTTTTGCGATTAACAACAAGAACAGCGCTCTGCTTTAGAATTAACAAACATGCAAAGAAAATAATACGAAAGTGAAATGCATGAGTTCAGTGTGATCGAAAGAAAGTCTTCAAGTTGCCATCATTCATCCGGTAAGTAGCGTACAACATAGTTTACACTTATTGACAAAACAACTTTTGTTTACAAAAAAAAAGACAACTTTCTTAACGAAAATCTGTATCTTCTGTCAACAGTTACGCCCGTCGTCGAAATCAGAAAGTAAGAAAAAAAAGCACCAAAAATCGTACCAGCAACAACAATATCATCCATCAACAACAGTGACTCAAGAGACTCATCCGGAGTGGACGTGTTCTCGGTTTCCCGGGAACGCGCGCTCATCTCCAAAAACTCATCCACAGCAATACAAATCAATTAAGAAAAGTTACAAAAAAAATCAAAACTAGTTTAATAAAAACGAAAATTCCCCCGTTAAAAAGACAATTCAAATTAATTCGATGACCCTCAAAATAATTCTTGTAAGATTCGTGTCTTTTGAGCCGTTGCTAGGTAATACGATAAATTTAACAACAAACAATTAATAATAATTTAAAAAAAAAAAAAACAAGAAGCTCACTTATTTATTCATTTATTATTTCCAGTTTATGTGTTTAAACGAAATAAATAGAATCGAAAGATTTGTTATGAAATAAGCGTTTAGTTTAATTTAAGTAGATTTCTTTCGATTTCTCTTCAATTTAACTGTTTTGATTTTTTGCAAAACGAAGAGAAAACCCTTAACATTAATTTTAATTAAGTAAACATACTTTCGTTGTGGTTGTCGTGAATATTATATGAATCCCTGTAACAAGAATCCCCTCACCCACACAAGTCAAATGCACTTCTTTACTTTTAACTTTATTTTCTTTCCTTGAAGCTAGAGACCTGTGATGGCGTCTTTAGATAATTGTAAATACTTAATTTTAAGTTTACTTAAGTAGCGATGATTGATGATTGGGAGATTGGGAGGAGATGATTTGTTTCTTTATTGTTTGTTAGTTAATTCTACTTAGATACCTGTCAGTTTTTCAGTTGATGTAAGCGTTTACTCGATGCTCCGCACTAAATCCAATAAGAATCAATTCAACGATTAACTTTTCATCACATTAAATATTTGAGCATGCATCAATTAAGTTAATTGTACAATTCTCTCTCTCTCTCCTCCTTTCTTTTTTTTTTCACGTGCTCATTCACAATCTCGAGTTTTGTAACGGGACAAGACATTTGTGTAAATAAAGTTTTAGGGTAGCCAAGTTATTCGAACTGTCTCAAGTTACAACAACAACAACAAAAAACATAATTAACAATAATTATATATTACAAACTTTTTAACAACCCCAAGTTTTTTTTTGTAAAACGCGTAAATCGATATTTGTTGGAGAAACAACAAACTGTTGATTCAAAAAATGATTTGATATAGTGACCATAGCAACGAAGGTAAGTAAGTAATCATGAAATATTTAGTTAATTAATTGAAAATTTCAAGAAAGTCGACAATAATTGAAAATTTAGTTGTTTGATTATGAAAACTTGTACTTTTATCTTTTATACTCTTATTCAATGATGTAATTAGTTTATGTGGTTATTGAATAATTTAGTAAAACGTGAAGACGCAACATTTTCAACTTTGACAGTTTATAACAGACTTTCAGAATATAAAATTAATATGTATTTAGGCTTTTTGAAAAGATCATTTTTCTTTAATTTGCATGTTTAAAGATTTCATTAAATAATTAGTGAAGACATTCAAACGAAAATTTTAAATAATTTGTTTAATATTGCAACCAAATATACACGTATTAATTACTTTGTTATTGCTCAATCTTGAAAGCTTATACCAAACAAACTACGAACATTAGAAATTTGATTTAATTGGATTGTGTAGTTGTTGGGTAATGAAATAAAAGATAAAGACATTCAAATCATTTTCTCTGTCATTTATTATCATTACGTAACTGCAGAAATATCAGCATTGTATGAATACACATTAGATTCCCCAAAAATTCAGCTTTCATATGCATCTTTTTAATCCATTGAATATTTTATAATTTCCAAGAAAATCATGTGAAAAGATATACAAGTAAGTATTATAAGTTGCCTATAACAAACAGATCTTATTGGAAATACGAATTTGCAGATTATTCTGTAAAGTTAATTATTCTGTTAAAGCTAAACATTCTGTAAAGTTAAACATTTTTATTCAGATACGTGCAGCTATAATTTGAACTTGGAATAAATATTTCTTAAATCGCAATATTTGACAATTAACAAGTACTTACGAAGTGCGCAAAGAATTTGTATTTGACAATTACTTGACATTGGATTAGTCATGTAATAACTGTATAGTTTACAATGGTAATGAAGTTGATTATGAAAACAAAATTCGAACAAAATACTTGGGTGTGCCGTGATGAACAAATGCTTGTTTATCTATGGTAGTCATGGAGATTTCGTGCGTGCAAAGTGAACAAAGCAATAATTGACAAGTTACTTAGAAACTGTTGCTAAATTGTACTTAAACATTTTATGCCATTACACGATATTTGGCAAGTAATAAGAAAACCGGACTCGAGTAAATGCTTGTAAAGTAACGGTAATTATTCGTAATACGCAAATTATGTAAATTGTGCGTACCTTATTTAATTGCTTTATTACATAACAGCTTCCTGTTTTGATACAACAAGAAAAAAAAAGCTATAAATAGCATTATTTCTATAATTTGCATGTTTAAAGATTTAATTAAATAATTAGTGAAGACATTCAAACGAAAATTTTAAATAATTTGTTTAATATTGCAACCAAATAAACACGTATTAAAAAGATAAAGACATTCAAATAATTTGTCTGTCATTTATTGTCATTACGTAACTGCAGAAATATCAACGCGAATTACAGTCAAATTGATAAAACTACAGCATTGTATGAATACACATTAGATTCCCCAAACATTCAGCTTTCTTAAGCTTCTTTTGAATCCATTAAATCTTTTATAATTTCCGAGAAAATCATGTGAAAAGACATACAAGTAAGTATTATAAGTTGCCTATAACAAACAGATCTTATTGGAAATACGAATTTGCAGACCATTCTGTAAAGTTAAACATACCTATAAATTAAGCAAAATATTTAATAATTTGAAAAATAAGCGTTTTGTTCATATAATTATTGAAAAATTGGTTATTTTTATAAATTCTTGTATAGTCAGTTGCATATAATACAAAATAATTTGAAATCTACTGATGTTTTATTAATTTCAATTTATTTATTACAATCGACAAGGAGTCATTCTCTGCCATTAACTTCTCGATTTTACTGCTATTCAGCTCCATCTGACGAGTCATATCTTCTAATGGATTTCCTATAAACCAAAAACAAAATAAATAATATTTTATTCCTGAAAATTACTAAAAATTTCCTAAATCCTAAACATTTAGAGAATTGATATGAAAAATTGCACTTTCAAAGAATCTTAAAGTTAAGCAATGTTAGTTGGATGAATTGATTAATCGAAATCGAAATCATAATAACACAAACATAATTTTAGAAAATTGATCATTCTATATTTCGAAAACATTCAATACATATAAAATACTTCATGACTTATAAGAGAAACCTTGATCTTGACAAGTTAACTATTTAAACAAGAATGTATGCAAAAAAAAACTATCGAAAACGTCTGCTTTTTTTTCTATTGGAAAGACTAACGACATCGAGCGGTATTCGTCGAGTAAATATTTGATTCACACGAAACGAAATCACGAGGAACAAGAAAATAAAATCCAGTCCGGATCCCGAATTCGAAAAACCGAGATTACGCAATCGGAATGCGTAATCTCTCTCTTCTCATTTTCCTCGCTAGACGATGCGACTTAACCGTCTTATTTGTACACTCGTTAGCGACCTATGACAATGAGGAACGCACCACAATTTTCCGTGCAATTAAAGCCACACAAACTGTACAATACATAATAGAAAAGTGCTTCATTTTGCACCATTTCTTCTTAAGATTTGATGGAAAAATAAGGTCTTTCTGGAACATCTCAGGTGATTGAACCAAGATTTTTATTTAGATACGTGCGGCTATAATTTGAACTTTGAATAAATCTTTCTTAATACGCAATATTTGACAATTAACAAGTATTTACAAAGTGCGCAAAGAATTTGTATTTGACAATTACTTGACATTGGATTAGTCATGTAAAAACTGTAAGATCGTTTTCGAACAAAATACTTGGGAAGGTCGTAGTCATGGAGATTTCGTGCATGCAAAGTGCACAAAGCAACACTTGATAAGCTACTTAGAAACTGTTGCTATATTGTACTTAAACATTTTATGCCATTACACGATACTTGGCAAGTAATAAAAATACCGGACTCGAGTAAATGCTTGTAAAGTAACGGTAATTATTCGTAATACGCACATTATGTAAATTGTGCGTACGTTGTTTAATTGTTTTATTACATAACCGCTTCCTGTTTTGATACAACGAGAAAAAAAGCTATAAATAGCAGTATTCGTTATGATTAGTACGATAATTGTTGATAAACTACAAAAAATCTGAAAGATTATAGATTTTCCATGGAAAATTTTCATCAATTTCTTTATAAAATGCTAAAATTACTATTTTAATTTATTGTTATATCATTTAGATGTTAAAAATAAAGAAAAACAAGCTAAAATTCACAGGAAAAACAGTCATAAGTCATTATTAAATGCACGTTTTTAATTCTTAAAACTTTGAAGAAATATAAGATTGAATTTTCATAAAGTGTTGAAATTAGATTTACCATGGACATTTTTTATCAATTGCTTTGGATAATTTTAAAATTCGTATTCTAATTTATTTTTAGATCATTTAGACGTTAAAAACAAAGAAAACAAGCTAAAATTCACAGGAAAAACAGTCATAAGTCATTACAATTTAATTTTAAAAACTTTAACTTTAAAGTGCTGAAATAATTTCAATTGCAACTTCAAATTACTACTTTGTACATGACAAGTACTTGACATTAGATTGGTCATTGTATAGTTTACGATATAATCTAGTTGTCTGAAATGGATGAATCATAAAATACTGAAATCTTTCTTAATATCTTCAGTATTGATTTTCAGAAAGTTTGCAAATTATTGGGTTTAAACAAAACTTTGTGATCATATTCATTAGGAAATTCCTTCAAATCTCTAAAAATTGAAACGTATTTTCCTCGTAGTTTACATCCAACATTTGCAATTATTCTGAACCAATCGAGTCAGCGTAACAAACAATGGATTTCCTAAAACTTTTACTTGAAAGTGCTGAAATAATTTCAGTTGCAACTTCAAATTAGGATTTATACTAAAACAAACTTTTTGAAAGAACCGGTTTTCGAATCTCAACTTTTTTACAAAACCGGTTTAATGAAAATTTACGCGACACACTACTTTGTACTTGACAAGTACTTGACATTAGATTGGTCATTGTATAGTATACGATATAATCTAGTTGTCTGAAATGGAGGATAGAAAATGAAATTTTCATAAAATACTAAAATCTTAAAATCTTAATATTTTCAGTATTGATTTTCAGAAAGTTTGCAAATTATTGGGTTTAAACAAAACTTTGTGATCATATCCATTAGGAAATTCCTTCAAATCACAAATCTCAAAAAATTGAAGCGCATTTTCCTCGTAGTTTACATCCAACATTTGCAATTATTCTCAACCAATCTAATCAGCGTAACAAACAGAAAAAAAAATCTCGTTTTACGATAAGTTTTACGATCGGATTTTCCGTGGGATCCGGGAAAACCCGCGCCTTTCCCGAAATAGTTTTTATAACGATTCGTCTACCAAAAAAATTTAAAAAAAGATCTCTTTTGAGAGGTTCTAAACTAAACTAAAGCAAACAGTGAGTGAGATACGTGGGGCCACAATAAATTCGCGCTTTTTGATTGAATGTTTGTACACAATTTGAACGAAAACTTGTAAATCCCGCGATTTATTATCATCCGATTCGCGCATTCTTTCACAAACGTGATAAATTAAGCAACTTATTTCTAAACTTACGTATTCTAGTATTTTTACATTGGATTTGCGCTATTTTTACGTTTCCAAAACGACGGGAATAGAATAGGAAGAAAAATTACCTGCGAGTCGTTGCAAATTTTCGGCGCATTCCGTTCCCCGGTTACTCATCGTCAAAAAATCTGCAATTTTATCCTGAAACGAAAACGAAAAAATTGAAACGATAAAACCACAATTTTTCAGCACATTACCTCAATGTTGCTCAAGCTCGTTTCCTGTTTGATCATCGACCGTAACGAAACCTCAAAGTTGTCCTCAAACTTCCCTCGAAGTCGTCCCAAAGTCGAATCGAAATTATCCATCGTTTCTTTCAAAGATTTCACCTGAACACGACACTCAGAGTTGAGTAGTTTCAAATCTGTATTTTCGCTCTGCAAAGCACTATATTTCATCTTCAATCCATCCAATTCCTCTTCCAATAACATTTCTCTTCGCTTCGAATCGCAATTTTCTTTTCTCAACATTTCATTTTCATTTTCCGTTCGAAATTTGTCCATCTCTAGATGCTCTGAAGACTTTTCCAATCTTTGGATTTTCTCCTGCAACAAGTTGACTTCCTCCTTCAACTTATTCTTTTCGCGGCTCAAAGCTTCGTTCATCAAGTGCAGACTCTGCTTCCCGAATTTCTCTTAACATAAACATCTAGTATTACATATTATTTAATTATCACATATTTATTTACTAAAAAAAAGTATACTTCATTTGGACAACGTTTAAGATAGGTTAGATACTTTAGGTTAGGTTAAGTTATATGTTTCTTGGATCAAGTTAGCAACACAAGATTTTTTTTTAGGTTATAGGTTAGGTTATACTAGGTTAGATACTTTCAATAAGCTAGTTATCTTTGTTTGATTTGAGGAATTTCAGCATATGAAAATCTAACTAATTTTATTACAAATATAAATTCAAAATAACTTTTCTTTCAGTCCTCATAAACTTAAGTATCTTAACTACTGTACCTTTTGCTAAAAAATCCTTCAACTTCCGAATCTCCTCACGATTCTCCATCGCAGCAATTCCTTCGCTCGCCAACTTTTCCCTTGCCTCCGACAACTCCCCAGACATCCTTGAAAGTTGTTCATAGTGTGCATAATTCTCCTTCGCCATTCTCATCACATCATCTTCTATAGCTTCGCAGATGCTGTGCATGCAATTGCTCAAATTCACGCGAAACGCGTTCGCTTGCAGAGATTCCCTGAAAGAAAGACAAATTGATACAAAACAAACAATTTGTTTTCAGTGAACTCACCTGGCCCGAGAAGTTCGCGAAGAGCTTAGATTCCTTTCCAGCGAATCCGATACACTTTTCAAGCAAACGAGCGCTACGTCGCAGCTATCGCAATTCCCCGAATTAACGTAATCAGTTTGCGAACTACAATGACATAATTCCAATTCTGATTGTAAACGTTTATCTTTGCTTTTATTCTGTGAAGAAAAACAGTATTGAATTATTTAAACTCAATAAACAAATTTAATTGAGACGCCATCTATTGGAACAACAGGAAACGTATTTTACTTAATGTCAATGTCAAACTTAACCAATGAGCGTACGCAATACTTGTCAAGTAACTTATTTTATAACAAGTACACTTACTTATAAAAAGTAATTAAACAATAATCCAAGTTACTTGACAAGTAATCAGAAAAAAATACCTTTGATACCAAAACAGCTACGGCTTTCCATACTGACAATACGCATTTTCCCAATGTCACCTTTATAGGTCTCGAGATGCCTTTCTTCGCATTACTTGTATCTTCTTGCAGATGGATTAAGAGGATGTTGAAGACGTAGTAGATACTGAAATGTTGAAATTTTACAAAACTTCTTCAGTATTTTTCATACAAACTATACCGATCCAAGATGTGCTCTAGGTGATGGGTGTAATCAGCGCTGTTCCTCATTTGGATGCTCAGCAAATCTCTACAAAATTTCGTTGGGAAGAGCCAAGAATTGAAGTTGGCATTGGGAACGACGTCAAGCATTTCCCAAATAACTGCAGTTATTTCACTCAGATCCTGCTGCAGAGAGAGCAGCACCGTTTCCTTCCAGCAATCCATTTGACACTTCTTGACATTTAATTTGTTTGACGTTTGTTTTCTTGATACAAATATTTTTGTTTACTTTTTTTTTATAAATATTACAACAAACATTATTAGTACAAAATTAATTGTTTACATAAAAAAAAATTAACAAATTCATATTTTTTGATAACAATTATCTAACATTTTGATAATTATGATGACTAATCTTTGTGGTTTTTTTGTCCTGCGGTCGATGATTCTTATTTGGAGGTTTGGAGATATTGAATTATATTGTAAAATTACATTATTTTGATTATAAAAATCGCGTTTTGAAATTTGTATTTGTACTCGAAATGAATAGCATCGAATATAATGAAAGTCGTAATTTAAAACGAATCTTTTGTAACTAAGCTTTAGATAATCTTATCAATTGTTATAATTTTCTGCGGTTTCAACGCTTGATATGATTAATTGGCATTGAAAGCTTTTGTTTTATTGTTGAGTATTCCCTAAGTAACAGTTGTTCTTGATCGGACGATGTACGCGTTGTACGTGCTGCTGCTCCTGTTTCAATTGGGCTTTTCAATTGTTTACCATTAGTTTACCATAACAACGAGCAAATCGCCAGTTACTTGAAGAACTTCACCGAAGTGCACAAAGACATCTCCACTTTATACTCAATCGGAAAATCCAACGAAGGTGATTTTTAAGAAAATTCGCTTTGCGATTTTGGTTCAATCCAGTTTTCAGGTGTGGATCTTCTCGTGCTGAGATTAACAAAGAACGTGGGAACGTTGAAGCCACACGTGAAACTTATTGGAAATATCCATGGAAACGAGGCTATTGGAAGGGAGATTTTGCTGCAATTCATTGAGGTTCTTAAAGTTGATAGAAAAGTGTTTTTTTTTATAAGTATTTTTTGCAGTATTTGGGTGAAAATTACAAGACTAATTCTACGATAGGATGGCTTTTGGATAATACTGTTATACATGTGATGCCTACTATGAATCCGGATGGTTATAGACCATTCAGTGTTGGTATTTGCGAAGGGGAAAACGGTAGGTTGAACGGAAGAAATGTCGATTTGAATAGAGATTTCAGTTGGACGGGAAACGAGACTAAGCAACCGGAAACGGAAGCAGTTCGAGCTTGGCTCCAGAACAACACCTTTGTTCTATCTGCGAGTTTGCATAGTGGCGCCCTCGTCGTTAATTACCCTTACGACACGTCAACGGAAAGTGAGTATTATCAATTTATCAAATAAAAATTGTGAAACATAAATATTAACGTTGAAATTCGATAATCAATTTAATATTTAAGTTAATGTTTAATAGTTTAAAAAAGTTAAGCAACATGTTATAAAGAAAATAATTGGATGGGTTAAATATAACTTTTGACAACCCATAAGAATTGTTTTGTATTAAAGTCAAAACTAGGCAATTAATTATTTACAATCAACGTTGGTTGCATAACTGTACTTTCAATATAAACATTATTCACGTCAGTTCAAAGTTAACCTAGAAAAAACAACATAATTTCAGGTTAAAAGAAAAATATATGAAAAACCAGTAAATCTGATGAAGAAAAAAAAAACAGTTTTTTCTCTTCTTCCTTCTCCTCCAAACCGATGATACGATGTTAGTAAAGTCAAATTCTACAGCTTTTTAAAATGTTTACACATGGTGCCATCTTTGTGTCAAAATTCAACTAGTTTGTTTCTAGCAACGCCATCTTTTTGAATGCTTTGTACTAAACTGTTTCTTTTCAAACATGAAATTAATGTTTTGTTAAACTTATCTTCTGTGTTTGTATAAGAAAACAAGCCTTCATTGACGCCGGACGACGACGTCTTCAGACACTTGTCGTTGAGCTACGCCCGAAAACATTCCACCATGGTCAAAGGTTGTCAGTACAAAGATAACACTGAGAAAGTCTTCAAAGACGGCATCACGAACGGAGCTGAATGGTATTCCTTCACGGGTAAACAATTATTTCAATAAATTTGCTTCACACACCGAAAGATATACAAACAATGTTGCGTAATTCCAGGCGGAATGCAAGATTACAATTACGTGGATCACGGCTGCATGGAGTTGACCTTGGAGTTGTCCTGCTGCAAGACACCAATGACCAAAGATTTAGAAGATCTCTGGATGAAGAATAAAGAAGTACTTTATAAAAAACTAAATATTTTGTGCTTGGATTGATGGTCTTCTTGCAGCCTTTGATTGATTTCTGCCTGCAAGTGCATAATGGGATCAAAGGAAGGATCATCGTCGATGGTAACAGCAAAACTAAAGCTAAATTGAAGATCGAGGGTAGAAATATCGGATTCAGGACTTCAGAATTCGGTGAATTTTGGAGAATCTTATTGCCTGGACAATACATTCTTCAAATTGAAGTATACACACAATTAAGTAATTAATGAATTTTTCAATAATAAAATTATGTTTTAGGTGAATAAAAAGTTGTACAAGGTGCCTTTCCTTGTGAACAATAAAAGCTCCGTTTTGAAGGAATCCGGTAAACTTGAAGTTTTCTTGTCGAAGGATGAAGTTACATTAGTTAAAGGTGACGCTGTCTTTACGACTACCACGATACCAACTACAGAGGTACAACGAAAATCTTCGACTACTCCAAAACCTTTTGCATCTAATCAACATTCTATAAGAACTATCAGAATCGAGATCTTCAACGGAGCCACCACAAAGTTCGTTTCATCCTCAATGATCGTCGTCCTTCTGATCCTTCTAATTCTCCAGCTACATTAGTATTCCTCTTCCGTGCGTGCAGTTTTCAATCAATGAAAGACCAAACCAAAGAAGAGAGCGCGATCTTAAGAGAGACGCTCATTGTCTCTCTGCTCTCTTCCATTCGGAAGTTTCGCAGCAGGTTTCGCTCCAAGGTTGCTGTTGCTGCTCCTGCATCGCATGGTTTATGTTTCCTGTTGTCAGTTGGCTTCTCTATGGCTTTGGAATTTTTACTTTCCTCTCCGCGCCGATGATAATTGCTATCAGCGTGTATAATTTATATGGCATTGTTTCCTGCCCTGGATTCTAGCTTCTTGCGAGAACGTGCAATTACCGAACAACAACAACAACAAAAACCTCACACCACAATTCATTCATTAAACCACTTCACTCTCATTACATATATAGTTTTTTCTCTCTTCCATCGATAAGGAAATTGATTTATTTTAAGAAATGTAGTATATTTCTATATAAGTTTTCTAGATGTACACAAAATACATTATAAATATAATTTGTTTTTTATAATACGAGTTTCATTTTCAGTTTTTTTTTATTGATTTCTTGAAAGTTATGTAACTATTTAGCATTTTAACTGCTGCATAAGAAGGGCGCCACCATTTCGCAATTTATTATGTAAGAAACGTTACATCGATTTGCGATGTCTTCAGTTTTTAGTGAATTTCTAGATAACTACGAATACTAATTTCATCATATTATACTTAAATTAAAACTGAAAATCTCACCTATCTAATGAGACCATTGTCAGTCTTCTACCATCCGTATGTCTGCTATGAGCTGTCGAAAGTGTCGTTGCTGAAAAGGAGCATATTCATTAATTTCTGGATAACCACGCAGGATAATTGCAAAATTCAATAAGAATTGTAAATTGGAGACTGTCGCCTTTTGTATTAACTCGCTCAAACAATTCGAACATCAATATTTAGATTTTGAAAATTTTCCATGTCTCTCATTTATAGTGAATTACTCGACAAATGCGTATACTAATTAGATCATTGAATACTCCAATTAAAGCTGAAAGTCTAAGCTTTCCAACGAGTATACTGATATCTTTTTGATGTCAACCATTCGTCTGTTACAAGCTGGCAAATGTGTCGTTGCTGAGAATGCAACCTCTTCACGTTCATTTTTTTTTCAGGATTACCAATCAAGTCATTTACACAAATCAGCTAAAAATGTATATTGAAAACAGCCACTTTTCGAATGGTCGCACTGATTTTAGTTTTCACAATTAGGACTTTTCAATTATTTTAAACGGTCATATTACACTTAAATTAAAACTGAAAATCTCACCTATCTAATGAGACCATTGTCAGTCTTCTACCATCCGTATGTCTGCTATGAGCTGTCAAAAGTGTCGTTGCTGAAAAGGAGCATATTCATTAATTTCTGGACAACCACGCAGGATAATTGCATAATTCAATAAGTATAGTAAATTGGAGACTGTCGCCTTTTGTATTAACTCGCTGAAACAATTCGAACGTCGATATTTAGATTTTGAAAATTTTCCATGTCTATCATTTATAGTGAATTACTCGACAAATGCGTATACTAATTAGATCATTGAATACTCAAATTAAAGCTGAAAGTCTAAGCTTTCCAACGAGTATACTGATAGCTTTCTGATGTCAACCATTCGTCTGTTACAAGCTGGCAAATGTGTCGTTGCTGAGAATGCAACCTCTTCACCTTCATTTTTTCTTCAGGATTACCAATCAAGTCATTTACACAAATCAGCTAAAAATGTATATTGAAAACAGCCACTTTTCGAATGGTCGCACTGATTTTAGTTTTCACAATTAGGACTTTTCAATTATTTTAAAAGGTCATATTACACTTAAATTGAAACTGAAAATCTCACCTAACTAATGAGACCATTGTCAGTCTTCTACCATTCTTTTGTCTGCTATGAGCTGTCAAAAGTTTCGTTGCTGAAAAGGAGCATATTCATTAATTTCAGGATAACACCGCAGGATAATTGTATAATTCAATAAGAATCGTAAACTGGAGACTGTCACCTTTCGTATTAACTCGCTGAAACAATTCGAATATCGATATTTAGGTTTTAAAAATTATTCATGTCTTCCATTTACAGTGAATTACTCGACAAACGCGTATACGAATTAGATCATTGAATACTCCAATTAAAGCTGAAAGTCTAAGCTTTCCAACGAGTATACCGATAGCTTTCTGTTGTCAACCATTCGTCTGTTACGAGCTGACAAATGTGTCGTTGCTGAAAATGCAACCTCTTCACGTTAATTTTTTTTTCATGATTACCTATCAAGGTATTTACAAAAATCCGGTGGCAAGCGCAATCCCGACGTTCGAAATCCTGGCTGCCTCAAAATCCCGACGTTTGAAATTTCAACTAAATAGAAATCCCGACTACCATAATCCCGACAATCAAAATCCCGACTACAACAAAATCCCGACAGTGTTTTATAAAAAATTATTATAAATTTCTAGAATAACATTTTTATGGTAGTTGGAATTTCGATACAGTCGGGATTTTGATTGTCGGGATTATGCTAGTCGGGATTTCGATATAGGTAGGATTAGATTGTCGGGATTTTGACATAGTCGGGATTTTAATACAGCCGGGATTTCGAACGTCGGGATTTCGATACACTCGGGATCTCGAACGTCGGGATTTCAATAGACGGGATTTCGGTTGTCGGGCTTGCGATATAGACCCACAAAAATCAGCTAAAAATGGTCAGATTTTCGAATGGACGCTATGATTTTAGTTCGCAGCTCGCCTAGTTGCGAGTTCAATTATTTTAAACGATTTTCATAAACTTTTGTGTAAGTTAATTATATTTAGATTGGTCAGATTTGGAGCGTAGGTTGGATCGTAGGCACTATTCATAATGCGTAATGGTATTGATGTTGGAACAGGATAGCCAAATATGCGGCAAAAGATAAATTGCGTTTTGAACCCGACGCCCATGATGTATCCGAGGGGAAAGCCGCTCGAAAACAATTACAGAACGAAAAAAACCATTATGATGTATCGCACTCTCGATCTACGTGCATATTGTTCCTCCATCTACATGGAAAATGTGTGAACGCGATTAATCTTGTATCATAAAAATACTTGTGACATAAGAAAAATATGCGGTACTTTCAATTTTTTGTCGACCGGTGATCCGGTTTGCGAGTTATGAGTTTGGTTAAAGTTCAAGCGCGGATTCCACTCTTGTATAATTATATATATATAAAAATAAAAAACAAACAAAATAAGCACATTGATTCTCGTGTCTATCTTAAGATAGAGGAGGGTTTTCCGTTCGGATCACTTAAGGCCCTTCTTCGTTCACGGGCGAGCGATTGCGTAATCGATTATACGCCGTGCGGCCAATTTGCATAATTGCTCTTAATGGCCTGCAAATATGCTCCTCCTCTTCTTCGTTCTACTCCTCAACTTCTTCTTCTTCTTCTTCACAGGCAACTCTTTTCTTTTTATCTCTGATTTTTTTTTTGGTAGCGCACGCCGAACGCGAATTCTTTCTTTGCCTCTTCGAAGGCAACAACAAAACGACATTGCGTAATCCCAGACGGAATGCAGAATAACAATTACCTGATGCATGGAATTTGATCTGCTTTAAGATATTAAACAGTTAGTGTTCATTTAAAGTACATTCGATATTGTAAACATGATGAACCGAAGTAACGTATGTATGAAAAATTTGATGTACTTTAAGATTATACAGTTAGAGTTCACTTTACGTACGTTTGACAATACATATATAATGCACAACTAACGTAGAAGTATGTTTGCGAAATTTGTTCTTATTTAAGATTATACAGTTAGTGTTCACTTAACGTACATTCGATATTGTATGTATGATGCACCAAACTAAGGTAGAAGTAAGTATGCAAAATTTGTTCTTTTTTAAGATTATACAGTTAGAGTTCACTTAACGTAAATACGATAATACATGATGCTTCTCTGTCTAACGTACAAATAATAGAAAAGGATTTGATCTGCTTTTAGATTACACATTAGCGTTCGATTAACGTACTTTCAATAATACGTACACGACGTCACTGCGATCAAACTAACGTACAAACATGCGAATAGACGTACAATGATGACACTGGGATCGATGTATTAGTCTATCTGTTCAAGTTAACTATTAGATATTAAAAAATACCATTTATTAAATGTTTTACAAGAATTATAAAATTATTAGAAAAAAACATATAATTCCATAAAAAATCAAAAATTTCCTGGAACTTCTTCAAACCGAATATTGACAAAAAAAAAATATAATAAACTGCGTGGGTGAGTAACGCACATAGTGATGAAGATCTAAATAACCTGTTCAATTCATAAATATTTCTATTTTTTGCAAATATAATGTATTAGAGGTCAATTACTAATAAATCAAATATTTTAATGAAATCTAATCTTCTAAAAACAAGTGCAAAACCACAAATACTGTCACTTTATTAAGAATTTTTTTTGTCTTAGTCACATTTAGAATTACTCATTACTATTACTAATATTTTTTAATTATTATTATTATTATCATTTGTACTAAATATATAATTGTTATTTATTTCTTACTAGAATTGACGTGTTTTTTTTTAAGTTTGAATAAGTTTCAAAAAATTTGACAGTTTTATTTGACGCTTCAGTTGACAGATATTATAATGTTGTTTTATCTCATCTCTAAGACAGCGCCACGTAATTGAAACGACGTTGACAGTTTAATTTGACGTTTCTGTTAATACATTTTCATGTTGTTTCACTTAGTTTGTAAGATCAAGAAATATAACTTAAACAACATTGACAATTTAATTTAATTTGAAAACAATAGAAGTTGTTACACTTCGTCACTTAAATAAAAAATAAACGTTGACTGGTTAATTTGATTTATGTTACACTTTGATAGTTTTATATGACGTTTTACTTGACAGATATTAATTAGCTGTTACATATCGTCTCTATGGTATGAACTAAGTTGACACTTTACTTTGAAGTTTCTTGAAAACAAAAGAAGTTACTACACTACGCTTATAAAGTGGTGTCTTGAAACTTAAACAACTTTGGCGTATCAATTGACAACAATTATGAGGTTGTACCATTTTATCTCTAAGATGGATATAAACAACGTTAATGTACGTTTGAAAATACATACAGGTAACATGTACAACGTTGACACATTCATTTGAATTTTTTTGAAAGCAATATAAATAATCACTTAAAAAACTTTGACAATTTAATTTGATGTTTCAGTTGATATAAAAATGTTGTTATATGAACTATGTTGACAGTTTACTTTGACGTTTCTTGAAAAGATACAGTTAGAGTTCACTTAACGTACGTT